CACTACACCCCCTACACGGTGATATATGCGTTCATATTTCCTGTTGTCACTTCTAATACAAATATACTTGTTGCTTTGTTACTAAATCAAAGTTAATTGAGGGACTGTTCGTTTACAACCCTAGCGTGCCCGTTTGTTAATCAAAGTTCTACAGATGTCTAAGGTGCGTTTTCAAAACGCATATCTGCTTCAGGAAGGATGATAAATTTCTGGTGGTCCGGGTGTTCTAATGACAAATTCAATTAACTTTGGTGCCCATTTGGACGTTTGGAATGTCCCTCTGCAATGGGAAGCAATTAAGGTTTAGTAATAGGTTTCTTTAAAGTTCTTTTTGTTCATAGAAAGGAGAACATTCCATTCCTTCCTAGAAATTGCCATCGATCGATCCATCGCGGCGTCGGGATTGAAATGTGGGCGTCGCTAGTTTAATAAATTTTGTAAACGTGCATTAGACGGCATAAATTGCGTATTCCGCATTCTTAGCAGCATGTCCCACACAAATAATTGAGCATTCCTTATAGTGCAATTATGATACTAGCTATGTTGCGACTTAGCGAGCCATCATTTTCGGGTAGCAGCTAAAATGCAGAAATACACCCAAATTAGTATCCGTATTCCCGCACGCAAACACAGCCCCGAATATATACTGGGAACACGAAGAAAATTCCCTTAAATTTATAGAACGCAATAAAATTAACGTAGAGCATTTGTTTTAGTATGAGTACAACCCAAGGGCTCAACAACCAGTTTCATTTATTTAAGTGTTGCAGCACGTTATTCTTATAAAACTGTGAAACTATTATTAATCAACAACAAACCTTAAGTATACTTCGTTCCAAGATAATCCAGAACGCAGTCAAAGGCCGGAGGACATGCGTACATAGACGCAAAAACTAAAGAACGGAAAGTCAGTGCCCAGTCCTCACACTCTCAATTGGCTTAGCCGGTGAAACAAAAAGGTACATAGAAAGGTGAGTACTATGACGCTGAGCTTTCAGAGTGGCTTAATTAGATTCATCTGCTCGAAGCATCGGCCTCGCTCCGGCGTAGGGGAAAGCAAAGTACAGTTTAAACTTCCGGCTGATCCCTTCTGCTTCTAGTGGCGTTCAACAGTTTATACAAACGAAATGTGCGCTCGATACGTGGCGACTCTCCTGTGCCCCGGCAGATTGACTGCATCTCAGTTCAGAAAAACGCTGAATTAAGCGGTTTTCACACTCAATGATTGTGTCGCATAGACCCGACATCTTGCATGAACTGGTCTCCTGCCATCAGTACCGACGTAGGTCTTCTACCTCTTTCTCCTTGATCTAGTAAACATTCAATGCTACCATGATATAAAAGGGGCGTATTGTTTTGGATTGAACGGCGTTCTATGAGAATTTGTGTCAAGATACGCAAAACGTGGTAACTCTGAAAGGAGTGTCTGATGTTCTGCAGGACAAGAAAGGCCTCCGAGTCTTACCGGGTGCCCATACAGCAGCGAAACGCGAAGTTCCTACTTTGGTCTTCTTAGATCTATGAATATGCCACAGGAAGAGTTTGGTCTTTTTAAATTCATGCATACGCCATAGGAAGAGGTAACCTTCCGAGTTAGCAAACACATCGGCAATACAAAGCAAACCCCCGGCCTCCAAACAGTCAATGGGATCTGTGCGAGCGCATCAACAACAATATCGTGCACTATAGACCGTCGTACACATTCTGGTGTTGTCGTAAATTCATATGTCACCACGTTTTGCATTGTTTTGATTGTAGTACTGCGGTAACTGGTGTCCCGCAAGGCTCAAAAACGTTTCACACGAAATCCGCAAGTTGAATCGCAGTGTAGTAAACTAGCACTATCAAACTTCACTTGGTAGTTCGAGTCACACTCTATGAATTAATGCTTATTCTCTTTTTACCTACTTTGCATATTCGGGCCATCTCTATCTAGAATTTCTTTTAGAGCCTACGTACCCTGTGCTTATTTGCATTTTAGGTGCGAATTTAATTTAGACTTTTCTTTTTCCTTTTTTTCTCCTGTCAATACACATACCATCTATAATCCTCTACTAACATACTTTAACTTAGATTGACACTGATTGGTGATTCTACCCTTGTATGAGTTCATTAATTCTTATCTTCAGTTATGTATTCCGTAATAGTTTTGGTACATTTTTATAACAATCATTTCCAGTGCAGTTAGGACAGGGTCTATTAGATTGTTTAATACTATAAAATCATTTTCATCACAATATACAACCCTTATTTTTTGTTTTCTGGGCACTTACGCTGCCAGAGGGTATTTGCGTCGCTATACTCAGTATTTGAGTTTAGTGTTTTTCAATTCTGTCAAGACAGGCGATGACTGACGTAAGTACGGAGGTGATTAAAAACAAATACCTCCGACTTGCATAACAATACCAACAATTCATCAGACGTTTCGTCTCCTATGCGGGAGACATCATCAGTGCGGCCTGGGAACACCCGACTAGCTACCAGAAATCCAACGCTTCTTCTTCCTTCTCTTCATCCGTAGCGCTAGTTCTGCCGACTTCTTCGTCCATGGCATACGGGAGACATTATCATCGTCTGCACTCGCTTCAACTTCTTTTACGTCCGTCCTGGATGGGAAGTGAAATGAAACGTTATTTCAGGATGTTGGTGTACACGTCGGGGATGGGGCCGCGGTTAGAATTGCAGGCAAATAGGTCACTGCGAATGCACCATGATTCCAGAAATCTTCTGTATACAATACCGCTTTGAGATTCAGGAGGGGTTGGTTCTTTTGGCTTCGAAATGAGGTCACGTAATTTTATATGGGGTTTGAAAGTTGTTCGTATACCTAGTGGAAGGAGGGACCGGCGAATGGATTCTGAGACGCCTTTTACATAAGGGATAGTCACCACGCCTGCTTTGTAATTATTAGTCGCTTTTGTTCTTCCCTGCTGCATCTGTTTACGTGTGTTTTAAATAAAACCTTGTGAATACCCGCGCCTCAAAAGGGATCCGATAATAATAATTACAAAGCAGGCGTGGTGACTATCCCTTATGTAAAAGGCGTCTCAGAATCTATTCGCCGGTCCCTCCTTCCACTAGGTATACGAACAACTTTCAAACCCCATATAAAATTACGTGACCTCATTTCGAAGCCAAAAGAACCAACCCCTCCTGAATCTCAAAGTGGTATTGTGTACAAAATGAACTGTCAGGACTGTGACAAGTGTTACATCGGAGAAACTGGCCGCAAACGGAGTACCCGCCTTAAAGAGCACAAAAGATACGCGGAGAAGGCAACACATGCCACAAGATCAAATACTGAACTGGTGGACCATGGTTGGACGACTGGTCACACTTTTGACCTTTGCGAATGCTGTGACCCTGGCACGCGAACAAAGGTGGGGCCCCAGAAGATTTCTGGAATCATGGTGTATTCGCAGTGACCTATTTGCCTGCAATTCTAACCGCGGCCCCATCCCCGACGTGTACACCGACATCCTGAAATAACTTTTCATTTCACTTCCCATCCAGGATGGACGTAAAAGAAGTTGACGCGAGTGCAGACGATGATAATGTCTCCCGTATGCCATGGACGAAGAAGTCGGCAGAACCAGCGCTACGGATGAAGAGAAGGAGGAAGAAGCGTTGGATTTCTGGTAGCTAGTCGGGTGTTCCCAGGCCGCACTGGTGATGTCTCCCGCATAGGAGACGAAACGCCTGATAAATTGTTGGTATTGTTATGCAAGTCGGAGGTATTTGTTTTTAATCATGAATCCCGGCTTTTGGAACTTTTTTGCATGTACGGAGATGATATTGACATAAATGCATAACCTCAATTATATTCAATTCGGAAGTTTTTACGATATCTAACTTTTCGAAGTTAAAGTATTTTGTAGATAATCAATATTCCGGTGTTGTTTTATAGGATCATTATCTCTATGGCTCTTGAATAAAACTGAAGCATATGTTCAGCGTAGTCTAAGAGTTAAGACAACTTTTTTTTTCCGTTAAAGTATCCGGAATGTCAAGGAACCAGAGCCTTTCGTGCGCCACAATCACATTCGCTGTGATAACCAAAAGAGGGTCAATAAATAAAATACGTTTCCACGTCCTCTCCAAAACAATAAAATGCATATTTCTACACCCGCGAGAGAAGTTAAAATAATTTAGACCACCAGGCTGTTTATAGCCTGCCACCTAAATATTTAGTTACAAGGGGAAAACCAGCATGGAGTCTCCGTGAGATTTCTGACACCTCAATAGAAATTTAAAGCCATCAACTAGGGACCACGGCACTAGCATTTTGAACAGAGGGTTTAAATGTTAAATGACTAGCAGAACATTTTTGTTTGCGATCTTGTCTTGATGAAGGACCTAAACAATTCTCTGAGGGTCACACTAGGCATAATGTATGTTCGAACAACTAAAACGACCCGCAGTCGCTCCTGTTGCATTGAAGGGATGTTTGTTCCCAACATTGCTGAATATGAGACGGAAAGTCAGGTGAGTAGCGTATTCGGAAAAGCTTGTGAACTAAGTGAGCAGGCCGAATTCGGCACTCTGATTGGCGCAATTTTATGAACGTCACTTCACCCGTTTTATTGGGGGAGCGAGAGAGGCCTATAATGAAGATGCCTTTCCCAGATTTGCTTGCCCGATACGCGTAGTCAAACCCAGGGTCCCGCTAAATTCTTGCGCGTGAATCATTGAGGCGTGTTTACCTCTAAGCTTCACCCCCCCCCCCCCCACACACACACACACACACGCACACCCTATGCACGTTTCATGATTACTTTCCCTATTCCGAAACGATGCCTTCGCAGTACGCTTGCTCCGCGTCGCGGTTTCAGGCGTTCACTGCTCCTTTGAATTGCCGGCAAAAATGGCGGCCTGTTTGCGCAATGTGGGGGTTGCAAACATCGTATGTCGACTAAACGGTCTTTCCATGAAACGTCACCGGGTTATCTCTTGGATTGAAGCTCCTTAATAGGCAGAAGAGAGGTTCGGGAGTCTCCGAGATGACCGAGGACATAAACTGTCAAAATGGGGTGATTATTCGGAACCCAATCGCAGCTGTTAATCTGCAGAGCGAGCACACGCGCGTTGTAAGAAGTTGTAACAAGCACATAGAGGTTATTCTGTAAAGTCTTCTTTAGTCATGGGGGATGTTGACGCTCATACCTGAATAGCTCGTTTGCGTTTCTACGGTACAGCTCCTGTTAGTGAACGAAAGCAGTACGTTGTGTGCAATGCTGAAAGACGGGACATGTTCTGTTCGTCTTTTCTCTATAGATTTTCCTTTTTAACAGTGTACATATAGCACTAAAAGATGTCTTGTTTCTTTGCAGTTTTTCTACTCGGTGCACCTCTGCGCGGGAGTGTTGCAGATAAACGCGTTTTACGCTACGGTTGGAGGCGAATGTGAGTAGCCCTGTTTTTTATCAATCTGTATACGTCCTATCAAAGTTCAGTTCTTCCGTTTTCCTAGTACGGGAGATAGGATTAATAGTTTAATTCTTATTTAATTCAGGGAGGGAACTGCTGCGCCAATTAAGCCATTCTGCTAAATGACTTTTCTTGCGCCACACTGACCAAAATGCGCCCAAACTGAAATTATAAACGTGCCTCGTCCAAATTAGCCGTTTCGCAGTTTCTGTTGGCAACATTGACATCGTAACTTCCGGCCCAAAGGAAACGCCGCTGTATCCGAATCAGAATTTCTGTATCCGAAGGTCGCTGCCATGGTTATACTTCGTTTTAGCTAAAAATAGCTCTTACAGCGTCCCTCATTGCGATGCTTTTGCCACCAGACCTCTTTGAAGCCATTTGATGTCGCTCTGCTTCGTCTAAGTGGTGCTACAAGCGCGATCTCCGGAATTTCAACGTCCCTGCCAAGAACGCCACATGCTGGCCCTTGTAGCATCGGCTGCGTCTGGACAAAAGCTGAAACGAAGTATTCGCGACTCCAGCAAAACGGACGCCGCCAAGCGGGAAAACCGGGAACCAGTCGGTCCAGGTCGCTCCGCGCTCCGCCGCGTCTCTAGTGGCTTTCTCGGACACGTGCTGTCGGCGCGGGGGCGAGCAATGTAATTTGACGAAGGTCCGAACATTTCTTAAGTTTGCCTGAGTGCTCAATAGTGTGGTGAAGCCTCGGAAGATTGTTTCTTTCCATCACGTGCTTCAAAGCCCGTTTACTCCACAACACACGGTCGCGTGCTTTCAATTTTTTTGGATGGGGAGGAATCACGGAAAAACGTTTTGATTTCTTGTCTGTCTATAATCACATTCAAAGTGACGACTACTTGGTGACTGATAAGTGGTTTCTTTATAAGTATGTAGAGCAGTGGACTGAGGTCGACAGACGAAGTGTTTCACTAGAGGGAACACCAACGTTGCAGTCAGGTGAATGGGAAGGTTCGATAGCTGCTTTTCTTGAGTTTGGTTTGCTCGATTAGCTTCAAGTTTTAGTCACTAACGCCGGCTATTCATCTTGGCTGCTTTTTGCCAAAAAAGACCACACTGAAGTTGGGCTGATTTCGGAATTACTTGATTCAGAAAACCTGCTCGCTGCATATGATTAATGAGGGAAATTATCTGCTTTAAAAGGGTGGGGAACGCGTCTTGCAAAGTTAGAAGCTGCCACGGCATTAGGATCTACCGCGCTTTCAATGTTTATATTATAACCCCTATCGAAGCCAGCAGCAATATACGTCTACATTGCTCAGGTTGATCGGCCACAAAAAATACTCATTTTATCCGTTCAGGATTCGAAGTCAAGTTCAACGCAGAGAGGTCTGACTGAATCTCCGATGAAGACTCTCCTCAGTTTGTCCGCATTTGTCTCCGTTCTGCCGGCTAGAACCATTTGGCTAAGTTTAAGTAGTATCTCTCTGTCTGCCAAATATACTTTTATTCAGCAGTTCACCTAATAGTTAGTCAACTAAGTTAATATTTCAACCCGAAGAATATACTAATATCGCTTTAGTGGGACATAGTACGTAAAATGATACATAAGCCGCATATTCGTCAAAATGACTACTCGATTGCTCCTAAAACCTGAATTTAAATACGAGTATCAGCTGCTTAGTGAAGCGCCAGCGGGTTGACATGCTCCTTGGCTCAAGAAGCGCTTGCTTAATTTTCGTAATTTCGCGGACAGATAAGTCGCATGATCGAGGCATGCGAGTTAGCTAAAATTACTCTTGGTGGAACAATTTTGTAGCTATCGCCGCTTTCCTTAGATGATCAAAACTAATTAGAGTCTATTACCGTTTCTCCGGAACCCATTGTTTCGGTTTTGAACAAAGTCTCCGAAACGAAAGTTTGACATGAAAATAACAAAAAAACACCGGCAAAACAAAACTATGCTCTGCAAGTTTATGCGCACCGGCTACACTTAACCGCCTCAGTTCAAATACCCATAAAATTGGGCATTAAACAAAAGAAAATCTGTTAAATTGAATGCGCCACCCATTCAGGCGGCCCGGCCGAGCCGACGCGACCTGGACCCAGCCGCCATGTTTGTTTGGTGGTGGCAGCCCCTATAGGTCGCTGGAGTCGCGAATAACTGCCGTTGTTGTGCGTTTTTTTTTTTTGAGTCCTGGAGCTCCTTTATCTAAATAGTGGAGCGAACAGCGGCGCCATATTGCGATAAACTCAAATGTATTTAAGTTGGCACGTCTCCCTTTTGGCTGTACTTGCGTGACTACAGACGTTTCCGCTGTTTACAAAAATCACAGTCCAGCCAGCGCTCGCTCGCAATTGCGGCCTGACAGAAACTGCGCCTGCATAACACACAAACTGCAATGAACGCGCCCGAATACGCTTTTGTGGAAAGGCGTATATTGCAAGCCCGCTGTCCGCGTTGGCCCGCCCCCCGTGGCCCCGCGCAGAAAACTTGGAAACATAACAAAGGCGAGCAAGCAGTGAGGCGTATTATGACGGAGCAAGGTACACGAACTGAAAGCTATTTATACCTGTTTGTTTATATTTACCTCTTTGAAAGTCGGTTCCATCACCTTTCACACTGTTCATGCAGTTTTGCTTTATATGTTCTGTGCAATTTCCATGTAATTTCGTGAAAAAGGTTTCAAATAAAATGTTAATTGAAACTACCGTTAGTTCACCCATGGAGTTATCTGCATGCGTGCCATATTTCCTTAAGTTTTGAAAACCAGGTGACATTTAGCCACCATTTTAACGTTCTTAAAGCTCGTATGCTGCTCCTAACTTGCACCAAGACCTCGTTTTTGCTGCTCCCAGCCTGCTCCAAACTGTAGTTTTTTCTGCTCCCAAGATTGACCCAAAGCTGCTTTGCCCAGTTCCATCCCTGATTTATGTATCCATAGTCATCAAGAACAATCCGCTGCGTGATTTAAAACATTAATCAGCAAGTGGACAACGAGGAAGTACTTAGCAGTAATTAATATAATAATTGAATTACATATTGGTATGACTCATATATCAGGACCTGTTAGTATATAGTTGTGCGCTTTTACCACCATTTGGGTTGGATCATTTCATTAAATATATGCTTCAGCAGCTTACTAACGTTTGTAATTTCCAGGCAAAATTGTTCCTGAACTTGGTAATTATAAAAGGAATAAGCGTAGCTTGATAAGAGCGGCTGTTATTGTAAAATTGCATTTTTAAAGCTTGATGAATATTAGAACAAAAACCGCCGAGCTACCAAAAAAAGAATGGATTGCGTAATATTTTCGGTATTTTGGTTAGTAACCTCACTCAAACCAAGGCTTTGCGTTATGTCGGTACTGTAAACATATCCTGTTTGTGTGTGTGTGTGTGTGTGGCGTCTCGTTGGTGTCCTATTTGTTTTGGTAGAAGGATCATCTGATTGATTAATGTAGGTTACTAAGAAATGTCATTTAAAGACAACTGCAGTACCTAGACAAGTTTGATCATCAATTACGTGCGTATTATGCATATGTGAGGATAAGTTAGACATTATCTTGAACAGACGTACTTAAAATGATCATATCATGACATTGGGTGTCATGTAATTTTGTAATATAATTCAACATGTTTTGCCCATCTAAATGCTTTTAATGCTTATTGATATTGATCATTAATTTCTTTTTCTCACCTGGAGCAAGATACCCAGTACATCTGAGGTACGACGTGTTTATATCGCAGATTCAGAGGTTTTTATATCGCATGTCATATATCGTGTCACAAAATCAAATCACAGTAAAAGCAGTATTCTCCTTTTATCAGGCACGTTTCAAACATCTTGAAGTCACATGAACTAAACAAAATCACAATAAAACTATTGGTGTCCATTTTTACCTCTACTAAATATACATATTTTATTTGATATTTATGCATGCTTTGCGAAGTATGAACGTTAAGGGTAAACAATCATTCTGCCCCGTGTAGTAAGGGAGTAGCAATGCGTAATTTTTTGTTTGATATGTTAGCCACAATCACATTTCTAACATAATGAAGGTTGTGATATAAAACCAGGAGCACGTGAAACGTTAGTGCAGTTTTATGCTGTAAGTTTTATTATGTATGAAAACGTTTTCTCGCCTTACAATTCGGCAAATAGCATGTCGATACTCTTTGGAAATGCTTAAATCATAGTGAAGTGAAAATAGTAATATGAGGTTTATTCACACCACGATATATGCCAATTTTTGCACAGCAAGAAAGCCATATTTACCAAGTAGATTGTGATAGCATGTTGATTGCTGACGATCGCACAAGGGCAGTTCATTAAGGTAAGACTTGTTGACGGCAATATAAGCAACAATCAATGTATTATTAACTGTATGAAGCTGAGCAGTGCCAAATAGTTTTAAATTGCAACTGGCAGATGACGGAACCATCATAAGCATGCTACAGTATATGCATTACAGAATTTATAACATTTGCTACTAATTCTATTTAATTTAGTCGCATAAATCGCAAATGAAGGTATGTGATACCGTTTAAGATGCAGATGTGTCAAAACGTCAAATCTGACGTCATGGCAGATCTCAACAATCTAACTCAAGACCCAAGAGATAACCTATGTGCGTTCGGATATGCGTGAGGCAAACATCTTTTGGTACAGAAACCCATGAGCCTGAGGGTCGTATTTATTCTTGTAGAATATTCGTATATCGACAATTTGAAACGCACATTCAAGTTATTTATCTGCGTTATATACTCGAAAAATAAGCACTCCTTTTTGCTCGACTGATGTACGAAATCTTATTACGCGTTATTCGGCTCTCGGTTTCTCGTTCCTGAGAGTTTTCGATATTTGTTTTTTGTTTGAATACTGCTATCATTACCTTACCGGTGTACCACCGGTAAGGCGTTTAGCTGTTGGTGGACATTGTCAACTCAAAAATAAATGAATAAATAAATTACGTATTGCATTAATCAGGAATGAAATGTTGGATTTCGACCGAAGC